TTGATCCAGACGCAATTCCAACGATAAAGACGATTCAGCGATTAGCTAACGAAAGGGAGGAGAAAACGGGAAAAGCTTCTATTTGCCCCGCGCGAAACAGAGATTCCTCTCTCCGAGCATCCGGATGAGTGATAATTTTCTACTTTGTAGGAGATACCTGCGTCGCGCAGAAATTACGTTTCGACGGCGATTTATCGCGTGGATGTACTTACTTACTCTCGCGCCAACTTATCAGCAGGTACAAGATTACTTGGTTTTCCCTTCGTATCTTGATACGAGGATACAGTTGCTTCGTTTAATGTCGGATCCGTTCTTAGCAAGTAACAACGATAGTAATGGGACATTATTTTTATACATCTATTTTTTACACCTTAAAAATTTTAGGCTCCATGACGCCGATGGAGGATTAACGCTTCTCCTTTACGAGTCTCTAACTATACGAATAAAAAGAGATGAACTGAATTTCGTGAATTTTAACAGATTTTCAATTTAAAATAATTCCAACGTAATGAAAACGATAAATATCTCTATGTTAATCAACAGAAGACGCTCGAATTTATAGCTTGTGCGCCTTTCCCAGTCAAGACGGTCACCTTCCTTGATCGATCATTATCTTAATGGTCGAGGACTCCTCGGTCGTCTTGAGGGTCCCCAGACTACCATTACTTCTATTGTTATACTGGGTTCCACGCGGGTCTCCTTTTATACCCTACGAGACTGGATTTTGCTTCCGAGTTTTTGGCCGCCACCATGCGCGGCCTAGCGGCGGTCGACGAACTACTCAGAAGCTGGCGCTCGCGTATAGAAATATTACACATGTGTGAATATTACGATGTTTGACTATTTCAAACAGTATTAGATGTTTGATAAAATCCACACATTGAAGTGTGTGATTTCTACACATTCTCTAATGCATTTCACACGCGCATGTTAAGAGGATTATGCATGACATTTGAAAAATTATGCATTAAATATGTGTGACGCATTAATATTCACGCATTTCAAGTGCGTGACGTGTTAATATTCACACATGTGTGATAGATCTACTTCTAACAGTGTAGGTTCAACGATACAATCATGTTGCACACAAATTGATAAGTTGTGCACGATTATAATAGAAATCCCCTTTTTCGGTTTGGACGGTGCACAATATAGAGCTGATAGAAGTGGCGCAGCCTTTACGATAATAATTTACGCGGAGGGCTAGGGATCGCGGGGCCGGTATTACGTTGGGTCGTGATAAAAACGAATTTATAGCGTACCTACGCGGAAGAGAGACATTGAAAGTAATAGGTCGGATCGTCGTGTAGCGTGACTGTCCTAAACCGCAAGTCCGGCGAAGTCACTGCTTCAACTGACCGTGCAATTTGCATTCGGGAGAAAAACCGGGAGAAAAAGACAGAGAGAAGGGGCAGGGGGAGGGAGGAAGAGATGGAAGGAAAATAAAAGGGTGGTTTCTAGCAGCGCAGTTATACCGCGAGCGGTATGTGCGAAACGCCGTGCGTGGCTGCACACATACGGGACCGGAATGTCAGTGAACGAGATTCCACCGGTCGACGATTTTCCCCCGGCGGGAAAAGAGGATACTCGAGGACATACCGGAGGTATTCCGCGACGGTGATGTACGCAAGCGAGCAGCAGGTCGGCGATTTAACGACCGCGTCGCACGAGAACACGCGCTACGTTTAGACACCAGATACATTGATGGACGCCTTTGTTTTCGCGAGTTTGCATCTTTGCTTATCTTTTAAAACAATGGATTTTAAGAATAAAAGGATGTAAAGTTGCTCGAGACTCTTGGTTTAAAAAATTCTCTCTCTCGTATAATTTCGCAGAATTTCAGATTCTCGAAAGACGTTTAGACGCGCGTCGTCGCGGACGGAAGAGGACGTTGACCGGATTAGCCGCAGCGTCTTTTCGACGTCGCGTTGTCGTCATCGGTCGATCGTGATAATGACGGACACCGCATTCGATGCCGGACGATCGGATCCCGATTGATGGTTGCGGCTGGAAAACGGGCTATGTTCTTGTGCTCCTGGCCGCGGCGCGGTACGGGAGATACCCCGAAGCATCACTCTCTCACGGCCCCGAGACGAAGCGCGACACTTCGGCGTGTATCGCGTAATAGACCGCGAGTGCTCGGTAATTTTCCGCTAATAACTCGCTAGCCTTTGGCCTCCCATGAACCACCGGGTATAAAATTGTCGATGAACCCGTCGTACATGCGCCTTCGCTCCGGCCATCGTCCAGTTGGGGCCAACAGAAATGGTATCCCGTACGTGCGCTCAGCTAGAGCGAATTTTACATGTCTCGTGGATAAGAATTGACGCGCCACTATAATATCTAGCTTCCCTTTTTTTATTCCCGTTCAGGAAGATAAACATAATTTATGTCTCGTCCCTCGTCAGCCGTACCAGGAAAGCAAGGAAGATTGCAGGTTTTTGTTCAATGAGGAATCAGAAGTCCGTGCTTGATTTCGCATCTTTCGATCCTGATTTTTATATATTGTGTAAGACAAGAAGTTGCGCGAGGAATGTAGATTTCAACTTCTCTCGAGACTCGCGGTATTAGAAGAATGAAAGAAAATTATAACCACGTACTCGGAGCGAACATCTCGTCGAAGTTGTATGGTCACGACGTCGCTTGTAATAACGTACTGATTGTGAGATCGAGTTACGAATGTAAAGGAAAAAGAAGAGATCTGTACGGGAAATGATCTGGTGAAAAGTAAACGTTTAACATGGTCAACGAAAGATGGGAACGCTCTTAAGCGCGACTCTTACCCTGTATTCTAAGGCGAGACCGCAAGTGTCTAATCAGCTGGTTCGACGTTTTAAATCGTCTTGTTCCATTAACTTATACGATATCCGCTCTTACACTATCCGGAATTGCCCGAAGCGGATCAGGGGAATATTCTTTGAATTAAATCCGAGATTCGCCGGAGAAAGAGAGAAAGAGAATAAACTACCTTTCGATCTCTCTACGGCAAGATATCGCGCGCTCCTTTGTGTTATCGTAGTCCGACGATACTTACCGTTGTCAAAGCTGACCGCGCGCACGAGCCGATCCCGCTCACGAGGCGGTTATAAGCAGCGACCGGTGCTATTCCGAGATAATCCCCTCGCCCGGTGGTCCAGAATACGGAAATGGCTCGCGATAGAATTCCCGCGATCGCTGGCGAAAGGCGGAGGGAGAGGCCAATCGTAATAAAGAGCAATAGCACGAAGAATCGGAGACAACTCGTTAGCCTTGTCGCGCAGATAACATCGCATCTGGCCGTTAAGAACATATATTCTGTGATGCACATATGCGGAGAAATCGCGAATAATTGAGTGAAAATTATTCTTTTGAAATATATATATAAAGGCATAAAAATAATTCGTAATAAAACTACATAGAAATATAATATCTTTTGAAAAGTATAAGTATTATAAACGATATCTTGTACAATAGGTATACAGTAATTTTTATACATTTCAATGCAAAGAATGAGTATAATAAAATACGAATAAAGGAAAATTACCTTCGAAATAAACAAACTTTGAAAACACTGCTTAATCCTCAAACATTCGGTAATTTAGGATTAAGCTTTTGGAATACGATTTTCTTGGACTAGCTATTGTATATCTAAAATTTATTTATTACATTAAAGAAATTGGAAATAAATCTTTTTCCACGCACTGGTATATTAAAAAAAGAAAATGTCTCCTTTTATAGTTAAGAATTTTGTATCTTTTTTAATATTCTTATTTCGACGTTTCACCTATTTTAACGTATCCTAATTTTAATTTTAACGTGTCATTTAAAGAAAAGATTGCTCTACAATATTACGCATTACTTTCCTAGCTAAAATTTCTATTTTCACAAAGACATATGACTTGTACCTATATATTCCCCCCCCCCCGAATCATTTAATTTAACTATAATAAAATAAGTTGATGGATTTGATTAAATTTTGGAATGACCTAAAATGTTATATGAAATACAATGCAGCATAATTATTGATTTAAAATTATTTATTTTTAGTGCATGTTACTAATGAGTTATACATATTATGATACATTATTAAAATAATAGTTAATTGTTGCAATATTTTCTAAAATGGCTTACTATGAGAAAGTTTTTAATATTGAATTTTTTAATGTATTATATAGTATACATTTTTCTAAAATGATTACAAATTAAAAATTAATATATTGTATATATAATATTCTAGTTTTTATATAATATTATAATATAAAAATTATATAAAAACAATTTCTTTGTTTTTGTATTAAAACCACTTGTTAGTGGAATTATAGGAAATAATAGTAAATTATCAATATTAAGTTACCATCTAGAATTTATATATTTTTATTATCAGAGTGATGCTTTTATTATTATAACTATTTTATGTCAATTATTAAAATCTGTTTTCTCTATAACATTATCTAAATTTGTTGTAAATTAATGTTTATCTTACATGCACAAATAATGTATTAATATTTGAAAATGAACTTATAATTATATTAACATATTAGTTACATATTAATTATATATTAATATAGAAGTAATTAATATGTAATAATAGTTTTGTCATTGTACGATTAACGATAAGCGATTAACATTATACCATTTAAAAATTGGTTTAGTTTTCAGGATTTAAACGTGTTTTACAATCCATTATCACAATAATATCACAAGTTAGTGAAACCTTACAATTTGGAATGTATAGCAATATAATGTACAACTGTTGAACCTCTAAACAGCTCATTTATTCAGGATTGCTGTAAAAAGAAAAATTATTAATAGTATTATATATGTATAATATTGCATTAATTATGAAATTTATTATATATATAAAATAAATTTCATAATTAACAATGATAAGAATCAAAGAGATTAGTAGATTTTATTATGTAAAATACTACTAGAAGAATCAGTTTTAAAATGAATATTTATACATTAGTGCGGTTCAATAATAGCATAGTTTAAATATTGAACTTGGTACTAACGTTTAAAACGACGTAAAGTTTTAACCAAATTTTTTTGTAGTAATCATAGACGTTATGACACTTAAGACGATATTGCAGTTGACGGCAGCTGGGGAAATTATGGTATTTATAGGTTTCATACTTGTGCTCTGAAAAAAAAATTGGTTGCATTAATTAGAAATCTGGTAGCTTTAACCTGTCGTCTGTTAGAAAATGGACGAATCATAGTTCCTTTAGAATTTACTAGATGTGTAGTGAAGTCTATCTAACTTCTTGTTATGAAATATCGAGCCCTATCGTGATAACTAGAAATTCTGTTTGATTTAACTAAAATACCTTCTATCATACATGTTTTGTTGATACAATCATAGCATTTTTCTCAGAGTACTTATTGGAATAAAACATTAATAATAATAATATGTATTTACACAACTAAAACTATTAGAATATAAAGAATAACTGAAATACGAGCCATAGACTCAAAGAGTGTAGAAATGATAAGCGGCGAAAACAATTGAAGCTCTATTGAAGTCGTCGCATAATGCATCTCGAATCAAGTCCCCGGAACGCGGTAAAAGTTTTCTATGCAGTTGATGACGTAGATCTTTGTCTATAAATTAATTTCCCGTCAGCTAACTCTGGAAACCTCGCTCGGCCAAGTGTATTTTTAAACATGAAACAGCGTCCGTTCGCGAGGTGGAAATGTGACTCTGCGAAAGGTGTTATTGCGAGAAGCAAGAGAGAAAGGCTCCAATTTCTCTTCGAGTTGAATCCAAAATGATTGTCTTGCTCTCTTCTCTTCTCACACGTGTCGGAAAATAAACGTGGCATAGACGCAGTAGAAACAAATTGTGACGACTGCGCCTATGGGATACGTCGAGAGAATACATATACTTGAAACAAAAAGACAGAAAAAGCACGAACATAACAAGCAAGTGCGTATAATGGTAGTCCAGTACGTGTATGCCTGCTTCCAGTAATGCCAATCAGATCGAGATGTCACGACGGCGCGAGTACAAGAGTATGCAGACATTGGCTTTCCTTCGGAACATTATATGCACGGGCACATCATATACGTGTATACGATTGTAGGCTTGTGTGGGATGTCATACATCAATGAGCCACAATGCCAAATCCCTTTCTAAATAGCGTGAAACGGATATAGCGTGATGCACGCGTGAGCGTTTCGGCAAATGTATGGAAATAATTATTAGCTGTTGAGATAAATTAATTTATGGACACGATATATAAACGTAATGGGAAAAATACGATATATAAGTCACGTAACATGCGGCGTGATTTCTTAATAAGATATTAATGAACGAGCGACTCAACGGGAGACAAATAAAAAGGAAAAGAACGTTGAGACAATGCCAATGAACAAAAAATAGATATGCACTCGTAGCACTTAAAGCAAATATTCGTTGGTGCCATTTATATCTTAAGCATTCTGTCGCAGCTCTTTGATTTATGTTGAACGATGACAATTATATGATTTACCAGAGATTTGATCCGTAAGATGGATTTCCTAATACCATTTTTACGACTAATATATTAAAAGTCGTCTCGCAATCCTATATCGACATTTGGCGATTATGAGCGACAAGTGGACGCTTTTACCTGGGCGGAATTTTCAGCATGTCCGGACTTTGTATGAGCTTGTCCAAGGTTTGTGTGAGTTTGGCAAAGGTCGGCCTTCTGATGCACTCTTTCTGCCAGCAATCAAGCATCAGGTGATAGATCGCTTCCGGACAGTTTATCGGCGCTGGAAGCCTGTAGTTTTTCGTCATCAAATTTATCACTTCATGATCCGACAAATTCTGGTACGGCCTCTCGCCGTACGACATCACTTCCCAGCACACGATACCCATGGTCCAAACGTTGGAAGCGTTCGTGAATTTACAAGAGCCTATCACCTCCGGTGCCATCCATCGTACCGGGACTTTATCGGCCTGAATACATACGGTAGATTAATTACATAGGAAATTATAGATATGTTCGAGCCTCATGTAGCCACGGCTTCGAATAATTTAGCCCGCACAACTGGAATCTATCGCTCACCGTTCTCGTGAAAGCTGCCTCCGGGGTACTCTCGATATCTCTACTGATTATGAGATCAAAGTTGGCGATCTTGCAAACAAGAGCGGCATTAACTAACACGTTCCTCGCGGCGAGATCGCAGTGCACGTAGTTCATCTCCGCGAGGTACTTCATACCGCTGGCGATGTCGCTCAACATGCCTACCAGCTGGAGCACTTGGAATTTGCTGTTGTTCGCGCGTAGGAAAACGTCCAACCTACCGTTCTCCATGAATTCCATGATGATCATCAACCGATTGCTTTTTTTCGTCACTATGCCTTGTAGTAATATCAAGTTCGGATGCTCGAACCTAACCTGGCCTATTATCGATGCCTCTCTCAGAAAGTCAATGCGGTCTTTGTCTTCGGAGTTCAGCTTTAGGGCCCTTATGGTCACATCTATTTCCGTTTGTCCGTTAGATGGCAATTTCAGCTTCCCTTGGTAGATATCGTTAAACTGTCCAGTACCTGTGACCGTAAAAAAAAACATCAAGAGTATAATCGAGTTACTGAAAAACTACGTTATTTCACAATCGCTTGGTGATATCGTATGATAATACACAGAATATCGTACCTATGATAGCTCCTATCGTGATATCTTTGACATCTATCTCTCTGGCGAATTTGCCTACCGCCTCATTCGAGTCCTCATAGGTGTGAGAATCGACGTAACTCCTTGTATTTGCATCGTTTGCGCCGCCTGCGCCCGCCGCGACGACCTCCACTGTAGGTGTGAACAACGGCATGGTCACTGCAACGTCACGAAAACAGAGTTTATTATATTAATGATTCCCACGAAATACAATATTAGCCTTCAGAGACATTCTATGTCTCGAAAAAAGAGCCCAATATCTCCTTTTTTTAAAGAAGTTAGAGACCGGACAAACTTTTTGGGTACCTACATATATACAGACAGTTGTTACAAATGTGATTTTTAGATGTTTTGGAACATTCTAAACATATTGGCAAAGAAAACTCGAGAAAAAACGAAGCTTTCTTTATGAGGAAGCAATAAAGAAAATTAGAAAGCTTTGTAGTATAAGATAATAATAGAAGGATTAATTTTAAAGTCTATATGAAGATATTAGTGCGTCCTAAAAGCAATGTGCGTTAAAAAATTAAACTTAATATTGACGACCTGGCAATTGTCTTGAAACTGATGATGATACTCTCTGTGAAATATGTGATGGCGGTGAAACTTTGAGCATCGACGGTTGTAATTTGTGTGGAGATTGTGAGTCAAACAACACGGATTGCAGCAATTGCGAGACAAGCGATGTAGGTTGTGGCTCTTCTGACGCAGGCAATATGAATTGTCTTGAAACTGATGATGGTGCTTCCTGTGGAATATGTGATGGCGGTGAAATTTTGAGCATCGACGGTTGTAATTTGTGTGGAGATTGTGGGTGGTTGCGGCGTTGTGACCATCGTGATAGGTGACATGATTAGTAACTTAAGTGGGACAGGTGATATTAGTCGTCTTAAAACTGGATCCAATGATGGTACCTGCTCTGGGGTAGACGATCGCAGTGCATTTTCAAAAATCGACAGTAATTCTTCTAGAAATGATGACTTGTTGTTGAGTTTTGCTTTTTGTGAGACAGGCGCCATGGGTTGCGCCAATTGAAAGGTAGACGATGTAGGTTGTTGCTTTAGGGACAATTGATAGATAAACGATGTAGTTTGTTGCTCTAGTGGCGATTGAGAGGCAGACGATGTAGGTTGTTGCTCTATAAGTGGCAATTGAGAGGTAGACGATGTATTTTGTTGCTCTAGTGGCGATTGAGAGGCAGACGATGTAGGTTGTTGCTCTATAAGTGGCAATTGAGAGGTAGACGATGTATTTTGTTGCTCTAGTGG